AAAAAAAAAAGCATAGGTCAGATTCGAAGCCCAGAGCGCAAAAGCTAATCGAGCATTCTTGACCGCTCAGCTATCGATGACAAACATTCTAACTGAGTCATTAGCCATACATGAACTGTTTAACCAGGTATGAGGGCTTTAATTAAAATTGGAAATTTTTATTCAAATTTTGTTGTTTTAATTGTGTTGTAATGGAAGATTATTGTTTTAGTGTGTATTGCTCGGAATTCCGCTTTGGCCTTCTATACTTAAAGAGGATATATTCTATATTCTCTGGTAATGTATAAGTTCTTTTTTATCAGAGCTTAGGTTACATATATCTGCTCTGTTCCCCCACGACCGCCACTCGTGGACACGACTTTACCTATGTATACGGAAGGGGGCCAACCAATCAGAGGCGTGTAAGAGAGAGAAAGGTTGTACTGCTATTTGTCTTTTGTCTCTTTCATCTCGTCTCGCGGTCGGAGCATACAATGCTTCCTCCATGTATATATTCTCTAAGGACTTAACACAGCCGCTTGAGGAGAAATTCCTATCCTACTCACTCTCTTGCGCTCCATGTGACAGCAGCCTTATAGGGACAATTCTATCCTGCATGCTCTATTGTTCTCAATGTGACTGCAGCCTTAGTTTCTATACAGGGATGGGTAAATCTGGTCAAAAGTCAGGAGGTATTTACGACACGTCACGCGTAATTTATGTTATTTAAAGTAACTCGGGGCGCTGACTGGCTGTTCAAATAAATAATAGAAACAAAAAAAAAAAAAAGTAACATAAGCGCCAATCACCAGGCAATCTGGTGCGTCTACTGGCCACCTAATAAGTTGAAATGAAAAACAGAAATAAATAACACAAGTGCCAATCACCAGCTAATCTAAGTGCTTTGTGGGTGCTTAATAAATTACTCCAATGTATATATAAATTCAATTCAAATAAGCTATACGGTGCAAGACGCAAAAACCCAAATAACTCGACGAATTCGATGTAGAATAAATAAACCTCTGGCTATTTAATCAAATAACCCGATCAGTAATAACACGAGCGCCTATCAACCGATGACTCTGGGCACTTACTGGCCACTCCATTAATTAATCAAATATTAATTAATAACACAAGCACCTATCACCCGATGACCTAGGGCGCTTACTAACCACTTTGTTAATTAATAACATATCAACCGAAGGACTGGTATGCTTACTGGTCACTCCAATAATTAATAAAATATTAATAAATGATACAAGCACATATCACCCGATGAACTAGGGTGCTTACTGGCCGCTCCGTTGATTTATAAAATGTTAATTAATAACACAAGCGCCTTTCACCCGATGACTCAGGTCATTCATTGGAAACTCTGTTAATTAATAAAGTATTAATAAATAACACAAACGCCAATCACCAGTTGACCCAGCTTGCTTACTGGCCACTTTGATAATTCACAAAATATTAATTAATAACACAAGCGCCTTTAACTCACCTCGTAGTAAACGCCCTGGATCATCGGGTGTGATAGGCNTAGGTGCTTGTGCTGTTAATTAATATTTTATTATTTAATAGAGAGGCCAGTAAGCACCCTGGGTCATGCAGGTGACAGGTGCTTGTGTTATTAATCAATAATGTATATCGTTTAATAAAGCGACCAGTGAGCGCCCCAGGTCATCGGGTGATAGGCGCTTGTGTTAATAATTAATATTATATTAATTAATGGAGTGGCCAGTAAGTGCCCTGGGTCATTGGATGATAAGCACTTGTGTTATTGTTTAATACTTTATTAATTAATGGAGTGGCCAGTAAATGCCCCGGGTCATCGGGTGATGGTCACTTGTGTTATCAATTAATATTCTTTTTATTAATGGAGTGACCAGTAAGCGCCCTGGGACATTGAGTAATAGGTGCTTGTGTTATTTATTAATATTTTGTTAATTAATGAAGTGGCCAATATGCACTAACTCTGGGTTATTAGGTGGTAGGCGCTTATGTTATTTATCAATATTTTATTATATAGTAGAATGGCCAGTAAACGCTCCGGGTCATCGCGCGATAGTCGCTTGTGTTATTGATTAATATTTTATCAATCAATGGCGTGGCCAGTAAATGTCCTGGGTCATCGGGTCATAGGCGCTTGTGTTATTACTACTTGGGTTATTTAATTAAATAGCTAAAGGTTTATTTATTATACATGAAAATTCGTCGAATTATCTGAGTTTTTGCTTCTTGCACCATGAATTGTAGCAAGAGTGTTGCTGCCCTGTTGGCTGCGCCTATTTTGATGAAGTCAACTGATTTGTTACTTAAAAATTAAGGAGGGATCGCGGTACAAAAAAACTACTCAATTGATAAATGATAATCAAAATCCACCTAAAAAAAGACAATTTTGCTGAATTTATCGGAACGGAGGATGGGAATGAACTGGGTGAAATAAATTTAAAA